TTGTAGAGAGCAATATGGTCTCTCCTGAGCCTCCTCTTCTTCAGACTAAACAACCCCAGTTCCCTCAGATGCTCCTGATAATACTTGCGTTCCAGGACACATCTTTCATGACCTTTGGTTTATGAGTAGTGAACCTGAAACAATTCAATATGGTTCACACTAAAGGTTAGAGGATGTTATAATGCAGTTGAACTAGGTACCTTTCCACTTGGCATATACTTCATGAAGAAATCACACAGTTTAGGTTCATTTAGTGGGAAAATTAATGACTAAGCACCGTTTTTCTAAAATAAATAATTTTTTTTTTTTTTTAAAAAAAGATCAGAAAGAAGCACATGGTTTTATTTTATTTATTTTATTTATTTCATTTTATTTATTTTATTTTATTTTATTTTATTTTATTTTATTTTATTTTATTTTATTTTATTTTATTCATGGAGTAAGTCTGCCTTACAGTGCAAGTTATAGGTCAACTGCTATCAGGAAATATAATTTCATATTACCCACAATATATTGCTTATTAATAAGAGTGGAAAATGGAATGAGTCAAAGAAAACAGATAGTTTGAGCAACTTGACTTCTAAATTATACAAGAACATCGCTTATTTGAATTCAGATATGTTGATACTAGCATACAATTAATCATATTGATCTAATTAAAGGCTATTAGAGTCAATGTTATCAGAAACAAATTGATGATTACTTGATTTCTAAAGATCATTTGATTCATCACAATGACCAAAATTTCTCCCAGTTCAGTACTTTGAAATAACAATTGAAGTTAAGAGATACTGTCTTTTCTCTTTCAGAACAAACAGATACTGTTCTATTTCTCTTATGCAAGGGTGAAAATAGTTTTATGACTGGAACAAAATTCTGCTGGAGTTTAATAACTAATAGTTTTCTGTTGATATAAGGTAGAGGTATTTTGTCTTGAATAAAATTTGAGTGTTTCCTTTAACGTAAATGTAAGAATAAAATTCTAGTGTTTTGTAAAATTTTGAGATGGCAAGAGATTTACTATTGTATTGGGTTTACATACGAAGATTTTGATAGTTGGGGCTGCAGGGGTGGGCTCTCTGAGAATTCAGAAGCTGTCCCATGTTAGATAAGGGCCAGTTTCAGAAGGCTGGCTTCGGGACACACCCCTGACCAGAGCCGAGCCAATAAGCAATGTTGTTTGTGCCTCTGGGAGAGCGAGGAGTGAGAAATGTCCCTGCAGACACCAAGGTCAGTGCAGCAGGAGGGCAGGAGGTGCTTCAGGCATGCAGCAGAAGTTCCCCTGCAGCCTATGGAGAGGCCCGTGGTGGAGCAGGCTGTCCCCCTGCAGCCCATGGGTCCCACATGGAGCAGATCTCCACGCTGCAGCCTGTGGAGGAGCCCCTGGTGGAGCAGGTGGTTGTGGCCTGGAGGAGGCTGTGGCCCATGGAGAGCCCCCACAGGAGCAGGCCCCGAGCCGGAGCTGCAGCCTGTGGAGAGGAGCCCACTCAGGAGCAGGGGGCCTGGGGGAAGCTGCTGCCCATGGGGGACAGTGCTGGAGCAGTTTGCTCCTGGGGGATGGATGGACCCTGTGGTATGGAGCCATGTGGGAGCAGTGCTTGAAGATCTGCTGCCTGTGGGAAGCCCACACAGGATCAGTTCAGGAAGGATGGCATTCCGTGGGAGGGACCCCACGTGGAGCAGGGGCAGCGAGTGACCATGAAGGAGCAGTGGAGATGAATGGCTGATTTGCAGCCCCCCATTCCCCTGCACCACTCAGGGAGAGGATGTAGAAGAGGATGGATGGGAGGAAGGTCTTTTAGTTTGCTTTTAGTTTCTTGCTGCTTTAGCTTGTTAGTAATAGGCAATAAATTACATTAATCTCCTTATGCTGAGTCTGTTTTGGCTGTTACAATAATGAGTGATCTTCCTGTCATTGCCTTAACCCTCAAGCCCTTCTCATCCTATTTTCTTCCCCTTTCCCTTTGAGGAGGGGGAGTGAGAGAGCAGTTGTTGTCTGCTTTCAGATTCCATAGAATCATAGAAACATTAAGGTTGGAAAAGACTTCGAAGATGATCCAACCATCACCCTACCACCAATGTCACCCACTAAACCATGTCCCCAAGCACCAAGTCCAAACTCTCATTAAGCACCCCCAGGGATGGTGACTCTACCGCTTCCCTGGGCAACCTGTTCCAATGCCAGTTGTGGTGGAGCTCAGCTCCCCAGCTGAATAAAACCACCACAGCTGTATATTTAATAATATATTACATTCAAGTCAACAGCTTTATTAGCTATCCTCACAGTCCAAAATAACATGAAGAATATAGAATCTTCAAAAACATTTTAAAAAAAATCCATTGAAATCAGGCTAAGATTATAACCTTGCTTTGGATTCCTTGTGTTGTTAATGAGTAGCATTGTTACTTAGTAAAAGCCATTGTTCTTTACAGGCCGAAGAGGTCTATTTCAGTGTACATTTAGTGAGTGCCCTTGGAGGATGAGATAAATGATCACGTTTCTGCAATTTAATAGCTGAAATAATGTTAATACCAGTTAAACATCTGTTCACTTTAGAAATCTGGCAATTTACAACACAGCAACATTCAGCACCTAATCCTACTTCCATCTACTTGCAGACAGAGGACTGAGTACTTGCATTTTCAGATTTTAAGGCCAACATCTGCTGTGGATGTTGGAAACTTAGCTAGCTTTTTAATGATATCCAATTTCTGTTATGCTGAACCTTACAGGTAGCTCAAAAGACATATCTGAAGCAGTGTGAGCAGTACTCTATCACACGTATAGGCCTGCCAGTGCAATGCTTCTAGGACTCCACAGGAAAGCATTCTCTTCCAGTTCCACACTCCTCACCAGTCAGGCACATTTTTCTGTTTGAAGTAGGGGTTTACACATGTTTTTGTAAAAGGCATTACTTTTGTTTGAAACACATTAACAGCTAAAGAATCCATCACTTCCCTTTGTCCTTTGGGTTCTTTGGGGAGGACACTTAGAGGATTGTAGATTCACTGTAGATGAGTCTTCCCACAGTTCATGTGATTGTGCCACACTGGTTTTCTAATTCTAGGTCAGCCTGTCCATCGGTGATGCAACCAGGTCTGCATCTTTTGCCTCTGTCATTCACTCTTCCTGTTAAAATGTTCTCATTGTTGCAAATTTACATGTGCCCAACTGGAGCTTCTAGCATTTTTCTTAGATTGTTTTCCAGTGTCACAGAGAGCATTTCTCCCCATACCCTCTAATCAAGATGCCTCAAATATTTTTTTGAATTTAGGTGGGTTCCTTCAGGATCTATTATAAAAACAATAAAAATTGCTGTAATGGAAGTGAGAAAACTTTCCTAATATTTCGGCAGTATGTTTGTATACCAATATGTCTCTATGCACATAAGGGCAGACAGCAATCACTGTCAACCTCAGAAATGTAGCTGCTTCTAGATCCAATGGAAAAGAAAAGTCAATAGCTTCTGGGAATAATCAGAATAGGAAATGAAGAACATACTGAATTTCTCTGTGGCTAACAAAGCCTAAAATTATAAAATTTTATAAAACAATTTTTATTGTTTTATTATAAAATAAAACAGCAACAATAAATAAGTATGTCATCCACCTTTACTATTTTCAGACACACAGACAATATCCCCAACCTAGCTTTGATGAAAGTGGAATGTATTATACACCAGGAAAAACAGTTTTTCTTTCTTCCTAATGCCCATAGCTAGAGAAGGGATACCAGAGACAACAGGTCAATTTTTCTTCATTATATGTATTGTCTGTTATGCACTGTGCAACTAAGGACTACATTTTTTGAGGTGCATGTTCCATTTAAAATGTGCATAGCATTCATAGCATTCTTGTTACTCTCTAATTACTTGGAGTAAAGGTTATCCAATTAGGTCAAAGTTCATTGTGATATTGTTATTATGTATTGTGTTTACATGGAAAGGTTTTAGTAGTGGGGGGCCATCAGGGTGGCTTCTGCAAGAAGCATCCAGAAACTGCCCCATGTTAGATAAGGGCCCTACTGCTGGCCAGAGACAGGAATGAGAACCAGCCCTGAAGACACCAAGGTCAGTGAAGAAGGGGTGGAGGAAACGCTCCAAGCACCAGAGCAGAAGTTCCCCTGCAGCCTGTGTTGAGGACCATGGTAAAGCAGGTTGTCCCCCTGCAGCCCAAGGAGTACCACAGTGGAGCAGGCTTCCATGCAGCAGCCTGTGCAAGAGACCACAGTGGAGAAGGTGGACCTGCACAGAAAGCGGCTGCAGCCTGTGGAGGACCCCGCTGGAGCTGATTCCGGGCCACACCTGTAGCCCATGGAAAGGAGACCACACAGGAGCAGGTGACCTGGCAGGAACTGCTGCCTGTGAGGGACCCAGGTTGGAGCAGTGTGCTCCTGATGAATGGACCCCATGGTATGGACCCATATTTGGAGAAGTTCTTGAAGAGCTGCTGCCTGTGGGAACACGCAAGCAGGATCAGTTCAGGAAGGAACGTATCCAATGGGAGGGATCCCATGTAGGAGCAGGAGAAGAAGAAAGAGACCAAGAAGGAGTGGTGGAGATGAAGTGCTATAGACTGACCACAGCCTCCATTCCTACGTTCCCCTGCACCACTCAGGGGGAGGAGGAGGAAGAGGGTGGATGAAGGGAAGGAGTTTTTTTTTTCTTTCCTTTGTTTCTCATTTCTCTAGCTTGTTAGTAACAGGCGATAAATCTTACTATATCCCTACACTGAGTCTGTTTTGCTCACAACTCTAATTGTTGAATGATCTCCCTGTTGTTATCTCAACTCTTGAGCCCTTTTCATCATATTTTCTACCCCTTTCCCTTTGAGAAAGGAGAATGAGCTAGCAAATGATGTGGAGCTTTGCTGCCCACCCAAGGTAAAACCACCATAATACTACAAATCATTTAGTTTTCTGAAAATAAGAACACCACCACCACAAAAATAAATAAATAAATAAATAAATAAATAAAGTTTAATTCCTATTATGCAGGAACAGGACTATTGTCATAGGAGAAAAATGGTATCATTAGCATTTAGTTTCTATTACAAAATCACAGTGTGATTGAAGTACCTATGGAGGCCATTTGGTCCAACCTCCTTGTACAAGCAGGGTCACCCACAGCAGGTTGCCCAGGACCATATCCAGGTGGCTTTTCACTGTCTCCAAAGATGGAGACTCCACAACCACTCGGGGAAACCTGTTCTTATGCTCAATCTTGGTTTTTAATTACATCTGATCATATGATTTTATTTTTTTTAATTATTTTTCTGAAGTAAATTCTTTTATTTGTTTGAAGGTGAAATGTAGAAAGGTGGAAGTTGAAAAGGTAAATAATATAAAATTAGTAACTTTAAGATAATTAATAATCTGGAAATTCTGTGGTTTTTTTTTTGTTTTGTTTTGTTTTTTTATTTCGCTTTTTCTCTTTCTCTCATATTTTTCAGCACCTTCATTGCCTGTAGTAGATGATAAAGGAAATCGGAAAAAAAAATAAAATATATATATATATAGATAACCTTTCACCAAAGCATACATGAATGCAGTATACATTTTAATATACATTCTGAAAGTGTTATTTCTCTTTCCTAATGTTCAGAGTACAAAGGCTATTTAACAATAAAAAAGAATGAGTATACATGTACATACATAGTTGCATTTTAAGAGAAAGAGGAGATAGGTATGTCCATGCAGTTAAGCTGCTTGGTGTCACTTCAGTGCTTTCAAAGTGCTGCAAACCTCTTTAACCAGATGAAATCATATTTCTAACTGCTTTGTACTGTGACACTGTAGAGGAAGAATAGGATTATATGGTCCATATATTTTTACCAGTGGTAATTCTAGAAAGAACATAGGCAAAAGATGTTATGAGCCACTAAAAAGGAAAATGCAATTGAGTATGTGGATTGGAACTCTGCAAACGATTAGGAAAAAATATTAATTGCTTCATTTCAAGATGAAAATAGAATTGCGTTACACAATCAAATGACAGAAGTCTGTGCAGTTTGTGGTACATACATGTAACAGTAAATTTTCCTTAGATTACAGACTTAATGTGTTGTATGTCCAGTTTATCCTGTACATTTCTCAGTAGCAACACAGGACGATGAATTCTCATTTCACAAGTCTCATATACTCAGACTATGTAAATAAGTTTAATATTTTCTTGATTTCTATACATCAAAGATGTAGATCACTATATTCTGACTGGCTCAGCATTTTCAAATTGTTTGCTGAAACAAACCCTATAGAGAAGAGAGGTCTAACAAATTCAAAAGAAAAAGTGGAAGGGATTTTTTCTTTTGAACAACATTACTTCTGTCTATCAGTCATGCTCTGTTATTAGTTCTGCTATAGTAGCAAGAGAGTTAACTGGTATCAGATCTCCAAAGCACAGAAACTGTGCATTGGAGAAACATTATAATTTATTTGAAAGAAAACAGTCTCTCTTAATATAAAAGGAGAGGCAGAAATGGAAAAAATACAATAGTATCTAGATTTTATATTTAAACATTTACATTTAGTGAGACTGAAATCTAAAGACAGCTAGGAATCAAAATTTGAAAAGCGCTTAGCTTTTGGTCTCTCAGTCTTAAGATATAGTGGTGAGATAAGTTGCTCAGAGTGGGTTCAATCCTACCCCATAAATCAAACTTCAGCACCCAGTAAGCATCTACAAACACTCTTCCCAATACCTGGGCAAAGTTCACTTTTCTCTTTTCTAATACAAAAGTGACTTCTAAAGAATTGCAGCCTCTTTTATATAATTCCTTAATCGCTTGAGCAATCATAGACGAGATAAGAAATCCACATTCACTGTCTGTTCCTGATACATAAGATTCCAGTCCACGTGTCCTGTTATACTGTAGTCAATATGAAATGTTGAAAGGAAGTTGTGCTGTAGCTCAGGACTGACACAGCCTGTTGAGGGTCCAGAGGTATTATCCAAAATGCATTTTACCTTATGATAGTATGCAATACAATTCTGTTAGACTAGTGAAATGAATAGTATTCTGATTGTCTCCTCCCATAGCAATTATGTTCAAAAGAGTAAGTGGCTCCCACAGTTCTGTAGAAATGTCAATCATATGAATGCATTTCCAAAACACTGTAATGGAGCAGATCTCTCAGGAGCAAAGGAATAGCTCATTCCCAAGACTCAATGAAGCTTAAATAGGACAACTGGCACTGAGCTACTGAAATTGAAGTATTCGTAGCAGTGTGGGTCTCAAAAACTAGGGAATTTTAAATCTAGCCAGATAGATCCTACAGATTTATGCATTTTGTGAAGGCTAAGCCAGGGGTAGAAGACAAGACAAATTTTGTGTGCCAAATCATTTTGTTGAATCTCACTCTAAGTTGCTCCAGAATTTGAATTTTCTTCATCAGAAATCTGGAAATGGCAGAAAAGGGAGAAAGAAATGAAGACACTATTTAGAACAAGAGTTGGAAGTTAATAAATTAAACTCAAGTCATCTCTGTACCTTTTAATGCAACAATTCACACTTCTGAGTTTAGCTGGACTGTTATTAAACAACTTTTCAGGTCATAACACACACAAAACCTACTGTATAACATAAATAAAAGAAAAACATCAGTGAAAATAATGTCTTAAGTAATATCCCAATATAGAAGTATCAACAACTCATTGTGCTCTTAAGGTTCTTTCTGAACACAGAAAATTTAGCCAACAAGATGCATAAAATCTGAACTGTTTTTTAAAAATGTTCAGATGTCTAAACTTGCAATTACAGAAATTGTCTAAAGCTTTTCTGTAGAGATCAATGAGCCAAATGAGCTTTTATTTCTGCCCCAAATAATTTCAAATACAAAGGGGAACATATTTAGAGCACTATGATGTGTTACAAAGACACAGAAATGGTCAAATTACAACCTCCTACATAGAATTTTGTGATTTAAGGGGGAAATAAAATATGGTCAAGCTGCGTGTAAACAATGCTCCTATGAAGACAATTCAGTTGCTTGGTTAGCCATATTTTAACAGAAGAAATTTATCTGGGTCATACTAAATATTGTCAATGAGGAAGTTATGTAATGTAAGTGAGTCTAGGCCAGCTGCAGCCAGCAGATCAAATGTGACCCATGGGACGTTTCCATTCATCCAGCTGCTTCTTCTCTAGGACATGGAATAGTTCAATCTAGGAAAAGACAAATCAACTAATCTTGTAATGATAATCTATACTAATCTAATAGTAATCTTATACTTGTTTGTAGCACAAATTTGAAAGATCTTTTACCTGTGCTATAGCTGGAAGATAGAAGTATTGAGACCTATGAGACAGTGACTGTCTTGTTCCCACAGGAGAAGTCCTTCAGTAATTGCTGCTAGGTAATGAGAGGCAGCCCAAATCATAAAATCATAAAATGGCTTGGGTTTGAAGGGACCTTAAAGATCATCTAACTCTGCCATAGGCAGGAACACCACCCACTAGATCAGGTTGGCCAAGGCCCCATCTAACCTAGCCTTGAACACTTCCAGCGATGGGGCATCCACAGCCGTGCTGGGCAACCTGTTCCAGTGCCTCACTACCCTTTGAAGAATGTAATCCTAATGTCTAATCTAAATCTATTCCCTTTTAGTTTAAGACCATTCTTCTTTGTCCTAACATTATCTACCCATTATCTACCCTCTCTATCATTTTTATAAGATCTCTTGAAGTATTGAAAAGTCACAGTGAGGTCTCCCTGGAGCCTTCTCTTCTGTAAGTTGAAGAGACCCAACTCTCTCAGCCTTTCTTCACAGGAGAGGTGTTCCAGCCCCCTGGTAATCTTTGTAGCCCTCCTCTGGACTTTTAAAGCCCTGCTAATGAGTCTGGCCAGCTTACTTCTCAAAATGCCCCTGCCTCACTTGGTCAGGAGCTCCCCAAAAGCATTTTCAAGATCATAGAACTGCAAAAGCTAAACATGGCACCAGCTATGCAGCCAATCATTCACCTGATCCGTATGCTACCTCCTCCTTGGTTCCTAGTCTCCAACTGGGAGGACTGAGGAGAACACTGCTTGAGCTCCTGATCCCTTCAGCATCTTTCCAAGGGACATAAAGTACTTTGTCTTGTTTTGGAGTCTTCTTCTTGTGGCCTCAGTTGTCCCTATGTGAAAGAGCAGGAACAGGTGATAGTCCTATGTCTTAACCAAAGTTCAGTTCTAAAATCTGCTCCATGTCTCTGCAGTTCCTAAGGATGGATTCTACTGTAATAAATGATCTAATATAAACAAAATATGGAAAACTGTCTCTGCAAAGCATACAGTTTTTCTTCACTAAAGGATGGGCCATGACATCCTACCTTTGCTGAGGGAGAATGCTAAGCTGCTAACAGTTAAATATTCAGGACTTCCAAACCACTTAGAATTCTTCTTTCTGTATATTAATTTATCTACTATGAAGACTTTATTTATTTATTTATTTATTTATTTATTTATTTTTATTGTCAGAGATCTAGGAATAATAGATTTTTAGGTAATAGTGCAATGTTTAGCAGAATAGATTTAGAATACAAGTAGAGGTGCTAGGTTAATAGACATTTTATACAACATTGGTAAATGTCACTTACTAAACTTTCAGATCTGGACAGTGAAGTTTCAAGAATTCTCACCAAACAAATATTTACATGAAAAATCCACTTCTGAAGGAAAATGTTTGTTTTACCTATCCACTGCAAACATTATGAAACACAACTCTTGTATGAACTGGCACATTTCTCAATCAAATAAACAAACAAAACCAAAAACAAACAAACAAACAAAAAAACATAAATACATCATGAATGATTATAGCTTTTTGTTATGCTCAGGTTCCACAAATACTTCTGGCTTCTGTTCCCAGCTTCTCACTTCTGTGTTATGGCAGGAACATAATGCAGAGATGTCTCATATTCATCCTCTTCATTGAAAATTACTGTTGGGTACCCAGAAGAAAGACCAAATCAAGAAGGTAATATCCTACACACCTGAGTATGTACCTACCATGTAACTATATGACTTAAAACTAGACCAGGAGAGACTTCAGTTTCAGTCAATATGAGAAATGATTTAAATTCACAGTTGTAACCAATTTCTGGTTTTGAAGGAGTCAAAGATTTTAGAAAGGGAAATTACTGTTTTTAAGAGATCAAAGGAAAAAAACCTCAGTGTTCTGAACAATTTGTAGGGTCAGCTTTGGCCAGTGCTGCTGTAAGATTCCCAAATCAATTATGATTATGAATGATGAATTCATAATAAGAAAAGTGAAAGATAAGTTGTTGACAATTTTAGCCTTCACAGTTTCAGTTTCTGTGAAACTTAATATCTAAATTGTACTCTTTGAAACACGTTGTCATTGGGATGAGCCTAAAATTGGAAAGCAATACTTCATTTCCAATTACTTTTTTTTTTTTCCCAAATTATTTTTTATTTATCAGAGCTACTATGCATGCTCTGCAAACTGGATGTGTATGTCCAATAGTATATAATGAAAGTGCAACTTCTACATGGAGTCATAGTAGTGTTAGTGTTAATTGACTCTATAATTAATTGCTAATGATCTACTGTGTATACTGTGGTAATAGTATACAATAGGTGGATGATAGTTTGAATTCAGTGAGGGTTGAATATCATAAGCAAACTGAAACTTAATAGCTCTACCAAGCTGAATTTTTATAAAGATTCTAAAGGAGAATATAACCCTGTTAGCAAGTCTGGTCATGCTTTGATTTTCTCTTACTGTCTGAGAGATGCATTCCATTTCTACCTAGGAGATGGTGAAAACAACACTGAGGATCATGAAACAATGGTTTCTGAGTGAAAGGAAGAATTACTATTGTTTTTTTTAAGAGAGTTCTTTAGTTTAAAAATGTGATGAAGTAAAACAGAAAGTGCATATGCCACACCCCCCCCCCCCCCACACTTACCCCACCCCTACCCCCCCAGGTCATTTAAGGGATGCATGTTTCATAGTTTTAGCAAGCTGGATTTTCTAGCAGTGTTCTTTGATGCAGATACCACAGCTATAAACAATGATAAACATCAGTTAATAATTAAATCCATTTGCTTGTGAGCTAAACTAAATAATAATAATAACAACAACAATAATAATAATGAGTAGTTCTTTCCTTCCTTCCTTCCTTCCTTCCTTCCTTCCTTCCTTCCTTCCTTCCTTCCTTCCTTCCTTCCTTCCTTCCTTCCTTCCTTCCTTCTTCCTTCCTTCTCCTTTCCTTTCCTTCCTTTCCTTTCCTTCCTTCCTTTCCTTCTTTCCTTTCCTTTCCTTCCTTTCCTTTCCTTCCGTTCCTGTCCTTTCCTTTCCTTTCCTTTCCTTTACTTCTTCCTTTCCTTTCCTTTCATTCCTTTCTTTCCGTTCCTTCCTTTCCTTTCTCTCTCTTCTCTTTCTTTCTCTTCTCTTTCTCTTTCTGAGTTCCTTCTCTTTCTCTTTCCTTCTCTTTCTTCTCTTCTCTTTCTCTTTCTCTTTCTCTTTCTCTTTCTCTTTCTCTTTCTCTTTCTCTCTTTCTCATTTCTATCATTTCATATCATTAAGATATTTTGGGATGCATTCATCTTCAGTATGTCCTATGTATCTGGACAGCAGCTATCAGTTTCTGAGGTGTCTGTCTAGTTCATCATCAGAATCAGTTGAGATACAGCAAAAACAACCAGTACAACCTAGGGAATGATTCATTTCATCCTGAAGCTGGCATCTACACAAAGGACATACTGGTTAAACAAATATACACTTCATTGAGTGGAAACAGAAAACATAGCTGATACACCTGTCTTGTATTAATTGATACAATGTTGACTTATAGAAATATTGACTTATAGAATGTGAAATTAATCCAGCTGTTAGCATTCAGCAGAATGACTACTGCTTTAATGCAAAGACATGAAGTTAGGTGACTCCTACCATAAATATTTCTTTATCCAGTTTAGTATTTCATGGATAATAAGGAACAAATATATATCAAGAAATAATGTAAAATATTTCTTTTATTGTATTTTTGTCAGAATGATTCATGTTAGTTCACTTTCTTTCTTCAAGAATAGAAGATTTACCAATTACCAGTAGATGCTGTTAATATCATTAGTGATAATAGCGAAATTATCACTAGCAAATAGTGAAAATAGCATTTTAACACCCCATTAAAATATTTTCAAGGAAAAAAAGTTTAGATTTACTCCCTGTGTTACAGCTTCATCCAAACATGACAAATTTTGTCTATATGAAGTTGTGAACTGTAAAGTTTCTTTCTTTTGATCCTGTCGTAGTAGTTTAATTTGCTTTCTGTTGTATTAGTTGCCTGTGTTTTTGTTGGTTTATGCAAGTGAGTTGCATGTGCTGTAAAGAGTGCAGTTAAATCAATGGAGGACAAAGTAATACGAAGCGTGTCATTTAGCTCAAGGAGATGTTTTAATGTTCTTTTCCATAATTTCATGGAGAACACAAACATCCTTTTTTTCATGCATGGTTTCATTCAAAATTAACTTTTATCATCCTTTCATTAGTTCAGTACCATAACTAGGTATAGGTTTTTTGTTTGTTTGTTTTGTTATTATTATTATTTTTTTTTAATAAAGAGAAGATGTTATCATTTAGCATATTTTAATTATCTTTCTCCATGTGGAAAGTTCCTAAACAGATTTAAAGTAGGATTTTGATATTTTTTTCTTTCTCCAAGCTATGTCTCTGTTTTAGCATTCATCTAACAGACTAATTTCTCCTCTAAATAAATGGAAACATTTTACTTTTTATGTACAATTTGTTCACAAGTCAATATATTCTAACGTTAATTGAATACATTTAATCTATTACATTAAATCTAGTAAATCTATTAGATTAATTCTTAATCTGAGAGAACCCTAAAGTAGGCATTAAATAAAATGTTGTCCTTCCTTTGTAGAGTTCTTCTGTCTTTCTTACTTGGCAAAAAATTTCCTTAAGCATGACTAGATAAATATTTCCCATCAAATACAAATATTTTGTATTCAATTAATTTCATCAGTACTTATCACATCAAAGAATCTTCCTTCATATAAAGCGTAACTCTTACTGAAATTAAAGTTCTGTGTTCATCACTTCTTAGCTATAAAATTGTAGTGCACAATTGAGTCTTATTACATGTTTTTGATATTTTTCAAACTGCTGTGAGACACATTTGTCTTAGCACCAAAAACTCTGAAAAAACCTTAAAATGGTGTTTTAAATAAACTTTGTTTTGTTTTTGTTTTTTTTAAATAACCTATGACCCCTTTACTCAATACTAAGTTTTAAACTCATATTTACTCTTTTTCAGTCATATATATAAAGAAAAAATCACACTATATTAAGATAGTGTCAAATACTGCCCTTTTTCTCTTGATATAGGCAAGAGTTCCCTTCCCTTCCCTTCCCTTCCCTTCCCTTCCCTTCCCTTCCCTTCCCTTCCCTTCCCTTCCCTTCCCTTCCCTTCCCTTCCCTTCCTTCCCTTCCCTTCCCTTCCTTCCCTTCCCTTCCCTTCCCTTCCCTTCCCTTCCCTTCCCTTCCCTTCCCTTCCCTTCCCTTCCCTTCCTTCCCTTCCCTTCCCTTCCCTTCCCTTCCCTTCCCTTCCTTCCCTTCCCTTCCCTTCCCTTCCTCCCTTCCCTTCCCTCCCCTTGGTCTGCCAATGCCACCTACCAAAGGTAAACAAGTAAGCTAATTTACAGTTATAAATCATTCATTCTCCATATAATATTTTGTAGAAGCCTTCAGGAAATAAAATGGTAAAATAATAATAATTTAAAAAAAAATCTTTGGTTGATGGTAATAATAATATCATTTGAAAAAAAAAAAATAAAAAAAAGTTAGCTAATATCCTTAGTAGCTGGGATAGAATACATTTTATGCAATCTATTCAGAAGTATGAGACAATAAGCTATAGGACAACACTTTTTTAGGCAAAAAAATGAAATTTGGAAAATATAGGAAAATTGGAAATATAAGGAAAAATGGAAATTTGGAAAATATAAGGAGCAATGATCGTGGAGGTAAAGGGGATCCCTGGTAGAATTTTGAAATCAGTGAAATCAGAAAATATATCAAAAAAAGAAAGAACTTTTCTCAAGCAAAAATACTCTGCAATTAATATATATTTTTAGCAAAAATAAAATGATATCTAATATATCATATCATGATATCATGATATCATGGTATGAAACCCTTTTGCTTTTCTCACAGTCATCTCTGCTTTGCTAGTTCTAATCTATTTCTCTGTACTCTGTTCACTGTACTACTCCTTAGACTTGATTCTATAGAGATTCTAAATTCTAAACACATATAGAATTTAGAATCTATAAAGATTCTAAATTCTAAACACATTATTAGAATCTGGATAGATTTTCAAGACATAACCAAAGTCCAGGTTTGACTGTTCTCAGAATACTGGTCCATAGTATAGATTCAATAAGTCTCCATAGTAAATAACAAGGAACATCTCTTTTGAAGGCTCTGTTTCAGAAAAGAGTCTGTAATGGGAAAATTGACAAGACTTCCAAGCTATGATGGAAGAATTTTGTTCTATCAAATTTGATTCCTAGAGCAAGTATATTTCTGGCTTATCTTCAAAATAAATGCATTTTGAAAATAACCGATGAGATCACTTAAGAATCCCTAGCTACCTAAAGTTGAAGATACAAATACTGCACTTACATTCTCCATGGATTTTGTATCATATTGCATTCCCTTCACAATCTAGTGTCTGCAGAGTCATGTAGTCAGTTGTGGATGGTATGACTAGAAACTGCCTTTTGCTACAACTTCTTCAACAATAAAGGATTTTAAAACACCTGGAAAGGACATGTAGCCTGACCTTTGAGAAAATCCTCTGTATAGGAAATTTGGACAAAAATTTCTTTTAAAATGCTTCTTTTTTTTTTGTGACCATATTTTTTTCATTAGAATTTGTGATTTTCTGTTCTTTGATTTGAAATTTGATCTGTTACATGATGCTTCAAATTGTAAATTTAAGTGTATACTGAAGGATGAAGACTTGATTCACTTTCAGGTAAGAAAATAAAAGTACCAATGCTTACCTTAGAAATCCCTTCACTGAGAACTAAGTTATACAGTTTGCTTTTGAGCCTTTGACATGAAATTCTGACACAGAGGAATAATTTCTGGACACATAGACAAGGTTATGCACGCTTCTCTCACAATTTGAGATAATGTCATCATTAGCTAATTTAGGAGGAAAAAAAAATGAAGATAAAAGGAAATTAGATGTTAATTCCATTTTAATACCATTTTCAGAGTGCACAGTTCAGGATTTATGGCTAAGGGAAAGAATGTACTCTGTTCACCAAACTCATTGGATCTGAATAATCACCTTATATCCTCAGGCATGTTTTAGCATCAGGGAGACAGATCCTTTTCTGTTAAACACCTTAAGTCAAAGACAGTATGGGAAATCAGGGAAAACAGAGATTTATAATGAAGAGAAAAAAGGAAAAGAATTGTTACAAAGCTTTTATAATGAGTTATTTAAAGAACTGGAGAAGGTAGAATTAATTTACATGAATTAACTGTTTAAACAACTGAACCACAGTTTTAACCATGTAAGCTATGTAAACTATTTAACAATAGTTTTAATAGTAAAGCATAGTTTTATAGCTCTCAGTTCTTTCAAGATGACAGACCAGGAAATCCTGTTAGTAGTAACCCAAACTGTGTATGTGTTATATATCATTGCTCATATGAACAACATCTTTTCAGTTCATATAAATTTTACCTAAATATGTCTCTTATTTCTTTAATCTGCTAACATTGTGTAATAAAATAAATACTATGTAGATATAATAATATGAAATATGCAATTTGATACAAAAAATAACAAAAAACATGACAAAGCTTGTTAAATTGTTAGTTTAACAATTCAAAATTTGCCTATCCTTGAGATGTTCGCACGCATTACGTTTATCAAGGTCATAGAATGGAGTGGATGGAGTAAGTATTACTGGTAAAAGTATAAGTAATGATTATTGCAACAGGAAACTACATCTGAGACATTTGTGTAAAAACATTCCAACTTTCCATTTGTTTTAAGACAAACAAAAGTACACTTTTGTGTACTGAGTCCAATGTTCATCAGTTATACTAACTGACAATTGAGACACAATATCTTAAGAGGCTGTCTTTTTGTCTAATTCATGTTTATGTTTTTTTCTGTAAGTATCTCCAGTAAAAATAAATCAATTTTTATACTGTGATATTTTTTCTTCCTCCATTATGAGTTTGATACATATCCTTTATAAAGCATTATGCAAATATATTTTTTATCTGTAAAACACCAATTCCTTTCTGTGGGAAAACAAAACAAAACAAACAAACAAACAAAAACCAAAATCAAACAAAAAATATAACAGCCCACTATGAAACATTTTTAAAAGTATATAATAGAAGTCTATTAAAAAATGTAAATCCATGATAGCAGTCTATTTTCAGCAATTTGCCTAAAACATAAGGACTTCAGTGATACCCTTCAATATTTTACAATTTTATATGGATAAAGTCTTCAGCCTTCCTGATTATTTAAACAGGAATTGGAATGTACTAATGCTTCTGGGAAGTTGAAACATTTCAAGAGAAACTAGGAATTATAGTTCCTTCTTTCTTTTGTAATGTAGATGTTTGTTATGAAGACATTTATAAGAGGTCTAAAAGAAACAGCATGTGATGTAGAAAGTATTTTACACTTTCCATCACAGTCATTTTCTGTTTTGTTTGTTGTTTTTTTTTTTAATAAAAATGTTCTAAACGTTCTGTAAAATGCTTGCTGATGTAATTAGGTGCAATATGAAAGATTTGTGTCCTCATGTAGGAGAAAATTTCATTGTTTAGGGCAACAAATCTGGTGAGGGGTCTGGAGAACAAGTCTTATGAGGAGTGGCTGAGGGAGCTGGGATTGTTCAGCCTGGAGAAAAGGAGGCTCAGGGGCAACCTTATTGCTCTCTATAGGTACCTTAAAGGAGGCTGTAGCGAGGTGGGGATTGGTCTATTCTCCCATGCACCTGGTGACAGGACGAGGGGGAATGGGCTAAAGTTGTGCCAGGGGAGTTTTAGGTTGGATGTTAGGAAGAACTTCTTTACTGAAAGGATTGTTAGGCATTGGAATGGGCTGCCCAGGGAAGTGGTGGAGTCACCTTCCCTGGAGATCTTTAAAAGACGTTTAGATGTAGAGCTTAGTGATATGGTTTAGTGGAGGACTGGTTAGTGTTAGGTCAGAGGTTGGGCTAGGTGATCTTGGAAGTCTTTTCCAACCTAGACAATTCTGTGATTCTGTGAAAATAACTACGACTTGAGAAACATGGAAAAAAATATGATTATAAATATTTTCTGTAGAAATAGGATAAACTCATGAAATATAAAATCAATACGCAGAAAAAAAAACGTGCTGTCATCTCTGAATCCCTTATATAAATAGAAAGCAGAGAGATAGACAGATTTGGTTTGGAACTACTTTGACTCCAAACTCTTAAATGTTGGCAATATGCTTTTAGCAGCTATGCTTTTAGAACTAGAAAATCTTATCTTCTGACAGGAATCTCTGATTTTTATTCTGTATTTCTGTATTTTATTATTATTATTATTTATATTTTTTAAAATATATGTCTGTATTTTATTATTTAAATAGTCTTCCCTCCAGAAGTCCAGGGTGGCAGTTCTGCTAACCCACCTCCTTACAAGAATTGAAAAACATTAGTTCATGACCACTATGCCCAAGACAGCCTCCAACCTTTACATCACCCCTACAGGTCCTCTGTTCTCCAGCAAAAGATCCAGTGGGATCCAGAGCTGTGCTTTGTTGGCTCACTCACCAGCTGTGTAAGGAATTTATTTTCCACACGTTCTAGGAACGTCTTAGACTGTTTCCTGTCTGCTGTTTTATTTTCAGCAGACGTGGTGAGCTGAAATCCCACATAAAAACAAGGGCTAGTTATTTCAAGACTTCTCCTAGTTGCTTATAGAATATTTTGTTTGCCTTTTCAGCCTGGTTGGGTAGTCGATAGCAGACTCTCACCATGGCATCTGTCTTACTGACCTTCCCCTTAATTCTTACCCACAAACACTCAACCGTGTCATCCTCATTGTTCAGCTCTAGATGATCAAAATGCTCCCCATAGAGGGCTACCCCACTGCCTCTTTTTCCTAGCCTGTCTCCTAATTGGAGTTTGTAGTCATTCATCACAGCACTCCAATTGTGCAAGCCATCCTACCATGTTTCTGTGATGGCAACCATGTCATAGTTTACTTGCTGCACAATGGCTTCCAGTTCCTCCTGTTCATTGCCTGTACTGTGTGTTGGTGTAGGTGTACTTCAGCTGGGATAGCAAACCTGTCACCTTTTAGTGATTTCATATATATATTATATATTTAGTGATTTCATATTATATTATAGTTCTACTTTACATCTGTGACTTGAAAATACATATTACCCCATACAAATGAGAACATGAGACAGATCATTATTCTTACTGATTTCTCATTTAAAATTTCTCCATCTGCATATTGTACATTCCAAATTCTACATAACTACATGTTCTCATTCTACGTATCTACGTACTCTACCCTTGTTAACCTTACAGCTTTCTGTTGCTACATAGGTACAACATCTAATGATTCAAAAATGAGACAAAAAGGAAAAAATCACTACAAGAGAGGCATGTAGCTTCAGGACTTTTCCACCAAAGTGTTTTAGACTTCAATTTATGTTTCTTCTAAATGTTTAATTTGAGATTAACTTCTGTTTCTATTGTAGCATTCACATGTTTAGGGATTTTCAGGATTCTTTTACTTGTCTATATCAGTTAAAAAAATCATTAAATTGAAGTTTCTGTAATGAACTTCAGATAAGCATGCACAAATTTCATCTTTTATTTGATTCATATGGAATTCTTAAATATAGTGACTTGGTTCTCCCATCTTTCTCTATCTATTTTTCTGTTTCTCTCTGCTTGCATAAGAGCTTTTTTCTCCTCTATCCAAATTGTTTATTTTCATGCTACTTTGGGAGTATTTCCAGATAATCCTCATTTATTATATGATTGGCTACTTGCCATTCCATGTGTTTGGCAGAGCATTGAACAGACTGGCATTGCATTCCAAATTAGGTCTGTTTATATTTACGGGATGTTCATTAGGTTACAAGACATCTTCATTTGACTCAGGGGATAAACCTAGACAACTTTTGACTTAATTGTTGTCTTGATATCTCCACTCTTTAACATATTTGTTTACTACAGGATGTTTTTGAATATATATGATTCTTTTTTCTTTTATAGAGTGATACAATCTGTTTTAAGCGATCTCCATGTCAACTCATTATGACAGCTAGTGCTGAAATCAATGAAATCAACAAGCACATTGAGATCTGTCATTCCTCAAAATTTGTTTTCTAGCAGTAAGGCCATCATCTTCCAATACAAAAGCCAAACTGTCCAAACTAAAGTGTCTCCCTTATTATGGACAGGCTGTAGACACAATGCACTAGATAGTTCAGAGCTGAATCTGTGGTGCTTGAACTGTTGTATTTCCCTCTGACATACTCATGCACACATTCACATACATGCGTACAGACATACACACAAATTTATATGTATAAATATAATTAAGACTAGGCTCTCCTTTGCAAATCATGATCATTTCAGAACTTGATGCCAATTAAGCTTGTTTTATTCTTGTCTCCTGATGTGTTTCAAGTACTGCTGAAAGCATTTCACAGACTAAAATTTTGGTATCATTCAGTAAAATGACAGAGCTCTTTGAAAACTATCTATAGCCTATACTACACTGTCCTTTTTATAGCAGTGCCAATGTGCTCAAACTAAAGTCATATAATTTCCTGTCTACTGTAACCCCAAGGACCTATCAGCAGAGTTTCTCCTTCCAGTGGTATGTATCATTTTCTTATTTCTCATGTATTTCTTAACAGTTTTTCAAGGTAATTCTCAAAGTTATAGTAAGCCATTGGAAGTTTACTAAATTGTTTCTATGTTTCTTAACTGTGAAGTACTGTAAATTTGACCAAGTTGTTGATTGTCCAATGTTTCTTTTGGAGAAGTTTTGATTCTTTCATAATATCTTCCTCAGCTAAAATACATCTGAAAACAGTTAAACATCCTTATAAACATTTAGGTATGTTTTAGCTGCTTACTTGTCAGTTTACAGTCCTATCA